ATGACCTTAGGCAAGTGATTAGCCACATCTGAACTTCAGTTTTCTCATCTGTAAATGAGGATAATATGAACTCTAATGCATGCAGATATTCACAAGTTCCTGTTTGCAAAGCCTTTCATGTACAGGTTGAGGATACCTTATCTGAAATGCTTGGGACCAATAGGGTTTCAGATTTTAGGTATTTTTGGATTTTGGAATATTCACATATATCTAATGAGATATATTGGAACTGGGACCCAAGTATACACACAGGATTAATTTATGTTTCATACATACCTTATCACATAGCCTGAAGTTAATTTTAACTAATATGTTTAATAATTTTGTGCATGAAACAGTTTTTTGTATTCTAGAAATTTATTTTTTATTTTTTATTGGTACATAATAGGCACACATTTTCAAGGTATATATAATGTAATTTATATAATTAGTAAATAACATATTAATGTACTTGAGATTATTCATCACCTTAAATATTTTTCTTTTCTTTAGAGTTTTGATTGTGTTTTGCCTGTGATCCATCACATGATTAGGTGTAGAATGTTTCACTTACAGCATCATGTCAGTGCTAAAACATTCTAAGTTTTGGAGCATTTTGGATTTTTAGATTAGGGATGTTCAACCTCTGGAACCTGAAATTTAATGATCAATAAATTTGGGTTGCCATTATTGTGATATCTTTCCTCCCAAACAGCTTTATTAAAATATAATTCACATATCATACAATTTATCTACTTAAAATGTAAAATCCAATGGTTTCTAGTATGTTCACAAAGCTGTGCGGCCACCACCACAATTTTAGGCCATTTTCATCGTCCAGTACAGAAGCTCCACAACCATTAGTAGTCACTCCCCGTTTCTCCTCCTCACATCTTCTCCCATGTCGTGGTTACCAGAGGCTGGGGTGTCATACCTTCTAATGCAGAACTCTCACTGCCTATTTCAGTAGGAACAAAGACAGGGGCTGGCGCGGTGGCTCACACCTGTAATCTCAGCACTTTGGGAGGCCGACGCAGGTGGCTTGCTTAAGCCCAGGAGTTTGACACCAGCCTGGGCAATGTGATAAAACCCTGTCTCTACCCAAAACAAAACAAAACAAACAAACAAAACCCCAAAAATTAACTGGGCATGGTGGTGTGCAACTGTTGTCCCAGCTACTTGGAAGGCTGAGGTGGGGGGATCGCTTGAGCCCAGGAGGTTGTGGCTGCAGTGAGCTGTGGTCACACCACTGCTCTCCAGCTTAGGTGCCAGGGAGAGACTCTGTTTCAAACAAACAAATAAAAAAAAAAAAAAAAAAAAAAAAAAACAGCGTTCTTTGTATAAAGTTACTTTACTATTATTAATTTTAAAGAGTAGCTTGGTGGAGTGAATGACAATCTGAAGGTTGTATTAGAGTAGGAGACCATAATGTGAGAAGTCACAGGGGATGACAAAATTGGAATTAATTTATGATAAAGAGTATAATGAGTACTAGAGATGTTTACGGGAAGATTGAGTCCCATAGGAAGATCCCACAGTTGTTGACAGCCAAGATACAGGAACCATCTGTATGAGAGACAAATTAAAGAACAGAGAAGAAGTGTTGGGATAATCAGGATGAAAAGAGATTCTGGTTTCTGGAAAAGGTTTATGAGCTGAATCTTGAGGGATGAATAGGTAGAGGCACATCAGGAGGTTGTCCGAGGGAGTTGGGGGTAGACTTTGTGAACAAAGAGAGTCAGATAAGAGAAGGGAAGAAAGTGTTCTAAGACCATCATGTTGGCAACAGGAAATGCACCAATGTACTTTGTGTTAGACTTAAGGTTTGAGCTGTAACACTTCACGTTTAAAGTCTAATTAAAATGATATCTTGACTTAAATAATAAGAAATAACTATTAATTACTTTTGAGATATCTGGTAGCACATTTCTCTATATGAGAAGCAAAGACTAAAGTAGCTTTCCAGCACACTCAGAATTCTTAAAGATCTTTATGCAGAATTCAGACAAGTAGTAAAGGCAACAATTCTTTTCCCAAAGGAGGACAGACTTCCAACAGTGGGATGTACCATTCCCATGGGAGTTTTGTCATCAGAAATTCTGTGTCTATGGGAAGACATGGCTTCCGTAGGAAATACTGCATTACCCCACCGTACCCCATCCCTCAGCTCCACTCTATTCCATAAATATGTATGCAGTGTGGATACAGAGAGGTTATCTAGAAACATAAACATGCCCCCTCATCCTCAGTGGAAGCTCAGACCTTACACTCACACAGAGAGAGACATATACTACATGCATAGGCAGGTACACATGTGTACACCCTCGCACATTCCACATTTGGGGCACTCATGCTTGATATTAGTCCCCCTGATATCCGAAGTCCTACAGTGAGAGGATAGAGGTTCCAGGAAACATAGGATGAGACTTTAGAATAGAGCACTGGAAGAAAGTGGCTCATGCATGCCTAGGGGTTTCCGTGAGACACACAGAAAGATGGATTTCTCAAGCTCAGAGTGAAAGGAACAGTGAATAGCACAAAAACCTAAGACTAGGGCTGACTACCTTTGCAGACCAGGCCAAAGCAGCAAAAGAAAACAACAAAACAAAAAAATCCTACCTTAAATGGATAAAGTGCCTTGGCTGCAAGAGGAAAATAAGCGATAAGCAGACCCTCTCCAGCTCTATTCTGTGTTGATACACATTCCCTTTACTTTGCCAAGTTTTTATTCCTCAAGATAAACCTGAAGGCCAAGCTGCCAGAGATGAATTACAAAGCACAGCTCTTTGCTCAAGTGGCATTTGATAATGCCAAGCAGTTGGAGGCCAATAAAGTCGCCACTTCTGCAAATCAAATGAACCAGCTCCCAAACATGCATAACCCTGCACTGGCACCCTTGCCAGAAGAGGGAGAGGGCAGGAAGGAAAATGGGCAATGAAACTACTGGAATAGGTAACATTTTTATTCCTTCTGCACTTATTGTCACCCTCTTGAGTGTTGTATGGCTAAGACAGGGTCATTTCTCATTCCTGGGAATGACATAGAGGAAAGACCGGTATGACTTTGTGAAATTGTGATTTACGTAATTTAATTTTTTAAAGAACTGGCAGTATATTCATATTTAAGTATGTAACAGCTTCTTGAACATATGCAAAACCAATATGGAGTTCCCTGGTGGGCAGCCCTTGCGGAGCTGGTGCAGTGAATTACTAAATATTATTTGTAATTAACACACTGCTGTTGGGAGGTAGAGTGCTCCTGGAGTTTTTGCCTTCCACATTTGTTGAGGTTAGACAATGCACAAGAAATTGTTCTGGCTGCTATTGATTGCCCAGAATGCACCGTGTTTCCTGAGTGTAATAGTTCAAAGTATTCCTCTCCACAACTCATTTATACCATTTAGTTGTTTAACATACTTGTTGTTTCAAAAGAGTACAAATGTGGCCCAACTGTAAATTATCGCAGATGCCAGATCAGCGGGTACACACTAATGAGGTCTGACTGTCAAAAGCAAAGGAAAAATGTGTGTCTTCTATCGATTGAAACCCAACCTCTTAGAATTGACAGATTCAAGCTGTATTTGAAGTCAGGCAGATTTGGGTGTGAATCTCAACTTTGTATGATCTCAGTTCCTTCATCTGTAGAATTGGGGTAAAAGCTGCAGGTGCAGGTTTGTAGTGAGTATTAGAGGTTTTATAAATAAATTTACTGGAAGTAGTGCTTGGCGTTTGGCGAGGTCTGAAGAGGTGACAGCTATTGCCTCACTATTCTGCTTAAAAATTTTTCATGTTGTAAAGGGCCCAAGTTAAGTAGGCTTAAATATGCTTGTTAGCCTGCTCACTTACTCCCTAGGTGTGTTCCAGAAAGCCACCAAGTCCAAGTGTCTATTCCCTCATCCTCAAAATGTGGCTAATGATAATTATTCCATGGTTATTCTGACGATTAAATGAGGTAATGTACATGCAGCATTGGAATGCATTACTCAACATGTTTCAGTCCTTTTCCTCACTGCCCTCCTGTTCTCCTGGGTTGTTACAATTGCAAGCAGGGTAAAATGTGCATGAATGTGTTCGATAAACTCCAAAACACAAGAAAAATATAATGCACAATTATTTGCTTTTGCAAGATTTTGACAACTTATTAATGATTACTTCTTGCCTAACATATAGAAGAGAAGAGACAATCATTTTCAGAGGCAAATAATTAAGAGCATCTGTTTAGGCTGAGAACAGCGGTATTATAAAAACAAAGTAGGGAGTATTTGATGATTTAGGAAAACCACCATTTATTTAAATTTAAAAGCTGTCCTCTTATATTCAGTGCATTCTGGTGGCTTAACAGAGAGATCTTACACAGAAATAAAGCAACAGTAATTGGATCAGGAGCTTTAACTGACCTCTTTCAATTGCCCTAGCCTGCAGATAGCTTGATAATTGAGGTAGGCATTAAGAGCATAAGCTGTGAAGCCACAGAGTTGTGAGTTGATAATCCTGAGTCTGATACTTACTGTGTTCCTTTGGGCAGGGTGACCTTAGGCAAGTCACTTTATTTTGATGAACCTGAGCTTTCTTCATCTGTGAAATAGAATAAACGATACCAAGGAGGACTGTTTTAAGGATTAAGTGAGATCAAGTATTTGAGACTCTGGGTGCTACGCTAGCATACAATAAAAGTAACCCCAATTATTTGTTATTACTTACCAAGCAACAGAGCTGAAACCATGCGAATTTATCTCTTGGCAACTGCAGGCTCCTGTCAGCCTATGTTAGGGGTAATAAGAAGCCGCTATCAAACTCTTATTGTGACCCCCATATGATAAGGATCACCAATCTGTTGTTGTTTGTCCAGTAGCCTGGGAAGTCATTATACCTTGAGTGTCACCTCCTTCCCCCATCATTAACTTTTCTTTCCTCCAAGATAAGTGCTCTCAGCTGACTTTGACAGCCTTCTTTTTTTTTTAAGTAAACAAATATATCGCTTCTCAAATTGATGTATTTTTCAGCCATGTCAATTTTTCCCAGGTAGCAGGGATAAAGGGAATGTTCTTGGCTAACAAGAAGATTGACAACCAAGTGAAGACTTTCATCACATACAACAAAGGCAGAGACTGGCGTTTGCTGCAGGCACCGGACACGGATCTAAGGGGGGACCCCGTGCACTGCTTGCTGGTGAGTCTTCATATTGAAGCAGAATGCCTCACACAGTAGAGGGACAGAAATGGATATTTAACAGAGGATGAGGATAGTTCTGGGAGTTTTGCTCAGTTCATGAACAAAAGGGAGTGGGGAGGGGCGTGAAGGCAAAGGGTATAGAAAACTCACAGCACTGCCTAGTGTGATGTGCCAGAGAGATAGGAGAACATGGGCAGTTTCTTGTGCTCTTCCAGGATCCTTGGTTTCTGCCCAAGTTCTGATGAGGGCCTCAAATGGTAGTTTGAGGGAGAATATGACAGTTTCTATCCCTGGTGATGATATACCCCGAACAACCTACTTGCTCATGAGTAACCTGTTACAGAACTAATGATACATAAATTCAGCTGTAGAGTTGATGAACTGAATGCAGAGTCGTGTAGGTGTATTTTCCTGTGGAGATGTTTAATCATATTTTCAGAGGAGTTTATGACTCAAAAAAGGTAAGAACCACTGATTTATACCCTTATTGGTATTCTTTACAATATGTTCTGTTCATTTTTGTCTTATTCTGTAAAGCTGAAGTTGGCAAACTATAGCCTGTGGGAAAAATATGGCCCACCACTTGTTTTTCTAAATAGGGTTTTATTAGAACACAGTCATGCTTATTCATTCACGTATTGTCTATGGCTGCATTCACTGTACAAAGGCAGAATTGAGTAGTCATGAGAGAGACTGTTTGGTGAACAAAGGCTAATGTATTTATTTTCTGTATCACGAAAAAAGCCTGATATTTATTACCTGACCCTTTACAAGGGTTTGCTGACCCCTACTTTAAAGTATGGCTTCCTTTTAGTTGCCTTACATTTGGGCAGTGTATAGATTCGTATGAATTTATTTATATATTTGATATATGATGGCATCCAAAAGGAGGATCAAAGATGAATCTTGCTTTCAAGGAGTTTGCAGTCTACTTGGCTACTTGAATGTGACTAGATTAATAAATGGAAGACTACAGAGTCACATCTCGTTCCTCTTAGTAGCTCTGATGCCTGCCCCAATTTTGACACACAGATAAGTACTGAGTGAATACAGAAGGAGGTGAGGAAGAGACAAATTGCAAATTGCAAACATTATTAATACTATCAGTGTCTGTAAAACACTTCAGAAGTTGTGTCTAAATTTAGAAAAAGGAGAGATGATTGTGTAAGCCTAGAGGGAGGACCACTTCATCTGAGTAAGAAGGGCTTGTAGGGGATGGGTGTGTGTGTGTATGAATTACACGTATATAGTTGTTCACACTCTTCATGCAGTTCTGACTTTGATGTTATCTGCACTCAACTTGCTTCCTTCCATCCCGTAAAGTCTGGACAGTCACTCTGCAGGTTCATCTCTCACAGCTGTAGGCGGGTCACCCTCCTAGTTGAGAAGATGCCAGCAGCCATAGCTTGACCTTATTAGTTGCAGAGAATATCACAGTTGTCACTGTGCATCAGGGAAGCAGTCTAAAATTCAGCTTCCCACTCAGCTTCTATCCTTATTACTGGCAACTTACAGGGGGAAAAGGCCAGTTGTTATAGTAATGGCAGTGACAGAGTAAGTAAATGTAGCAACTATTATTGAATACCTATTCTATGCAAGGCACAGTGCAGTGGCATTTTAAAAAAACAGGATCACCTTCCTAGTTCAGCTATAGCAAGTTGGAGCATAGTGCTGCTTAACCAAAGATGCGGGGGATATGCCAGTTCCTTAAGCTGGTCTCTACTCCACAATTTGGAGATTAAACGCCTATGAGAGAGAATTATGAGAGAGAATTAACCATGTCACCTAAATGGGCTTGCCTGGGGACTCTGGCATCATAAATGAACCACTAAAAATGGCTTTTAAGCACTTAGCAAGGTATTCCCTGCTTCACCCCTAACCCAGTGTCAGAAACTCTTATTGTTGTACTTCCAAAATATAAATGTAGTATCAACTTATTTCCCTATCACCACTGGGACTGCCCCAATCCAAGCCAGCATCGTTGCTCACCTGATCCACAGTGACAGGCTTCTAACTGGTCCTCCCACTTTTACTTGGCAATCCCTTCTCTAGACAGCAGCCAATGGGACCATTTTTTTAAAAATCAACTTTATTTTGAGGTAAAATACACATACCTGCAATTTTAAGAGTATAGTTCAATGAATTTTGACAGATGTATATACCCATATAACCATTACTACAATCAAGACAGAACGTTTCTGTTGCCCTAAAAAATACCTCTTTGTGCCTCTTTGCAGTTAGAACCCACACTCTCAGCCCAGCACAACCAATGATCCACTTTATTTTCCTGTATAGTAGATTGCTGTTTTTTAAAATTGTGTGTAAATGGTATCAACTTGAACTTTTGAAAAATCAGATCATATCGCTTCTTTCCTTAAACCTTCTAATAACTTCTAATACATGTAGAATAAGTAAAAATACTTTATCATGACCAATGAGACCTCATGTGATCTGGTCCCTGTGTAGTTCTCCTCCCTGGTCTCCAGCCTCTCCCCTGTCCCTTTCTTCCTTATATGTAAGCCAAGGTGGAGGAGGGGTTTTTCTTTCCATACCGTGAACTCACCATGTTCATGTATGTCTTAGGGTCGTTGCATTTGTTATTATTTCTCTTAAAATGTCCTTCTCTTTGTCTGGCTTGTTCTTGGCATTCAGATCATTGCTTCATTATCTTAATTTTAGAGAACTTTCTTGAACATCCCCTAAAGTTGTATTTGTCTTAACTCTTTTTATTTTATTCATGGTCCTTACTGTTATCTGAAATCAGCAGGTGTACTGCTTAATTTTCTTGTCCATCTTATCTTCTGAAGTGTGGGCTTCATGAGCCTAGGGACGGTGCCTGTCTTTTTGACCATTCCAAAGAATCAGCTCTAGGAATCATACCTGCCACGTGGTAGGGGCTCAACATGAGGGGTGCTATGTCTGGAGTAGGCACTCCATCGAAAGGTGTTGTGACAGTTTCACATTTGGATTTTAATGGAAGCCATTCATTCCCTCTGAGAGTCCACTGGAGGATTTGTCACATTGTCTACCTTCTGAAGCTCATGGGCTCAAGTGGAACCCAAAGTTAACAAAAGCAGGAACCTCATTAAGATGAAAGAAAGATGGATTATTGGGATACAGATGTATGGAGCTCAGGAGTCTTCCAGCCTTCCTTCTTTGTTAACCCTGTTGTTTAATGTAGTTTTAACTTGAGCTTCAGAAAGCAAGCTGCAGGTGAGAAGGGGAAAATGACAAAGGGAAGCAGGGAGGAGAGACCAAAATCACTTTACAAAAATCTGCCAAAGGCACTAAATAGGAAAGGAAATTTTTGAGCTACAGGAGACGAAGACTGTTAAAAACCTTCTTTAGGTTTGGGAGCTGGTGGCAAAGATGAGATAAAAAGTGATTTTAGATTGTGAGTACTTGGAAAGTGACAGTGTCACTGAAAGCACAGCCTAGTGATTAGAAAAGAGATTTTTCCAGCAGGACTGTTACAGATGTGGAATAAGTTCAGAATTACAGCTTGAATGCAATGTTCCTGGCAAAAATCTATGCTATAGAAATAAGACATCTAGGGTAATTTGGGCTATATTTTTAGGACTTTTAGACTGATTGCCTGGAGGACCCAGCTGGGATTTCTTTCCTCTGAAGACAGAATTGTACAATTAGAGAGAATATTACAGGTCACGGTCCACCTGTCTCCAAAGCCTCAGGATTGGGCTCCCAAGAGGCAAGATGTGAGCTGAACTGAGCCTATGACAAATCCTTGGGCCCTTAGGGAAAGCACACTGTTTCGTGGAAAGAGGCGCTGACTTTGTGGATTCGTCTGGCAGTTTTCTTTTCTTTTCTTTTTTTTTTTTTTGAGACAGAGTCTCACTCTGTTGCCCTGGCTGGAGTGCAGTGGCGCGATCTTGACTCACTGCAACCTCCGCCTCCCGGGTTCAAGCGATTCTCCTGCCTCGGCCTCCCGAGTAGCTGGGATTACAGGCATGTGCCACTACGCCCAGCTAATTTTTGTATTTTCAGTAGAGACAGGGTTTCACCATGTTGGTCGGCCGGGATGGTCTCAATCTCTTGACCTTGTGATCCACCCACCTCACCTTGGCCTCCCAAAGTACTGGGATTACAGGTGTGAGCCACCGCGCAGTTTTCTATTGGAACCGATCTGGCAGTTTTCTATCGGAACTGATCTGGCAGCTGCCCCAGCAGAATCTGTTTTCACCTTTCTTCCATTGTCTGTGACTCCATATATTTTGCTGATTTGGGCTGGAGCTGAATTCCCCATACCCAGCCAGTTGATCCAGGGGCCTCCTTCCTCTTTGCCATTGACTCTTTATTGAAGATGTAATAAATTCGAATTTCAAGTCAGAGAAAGAAATTATACAAATGAGTATGTATTTCGGGAGGGAGAGTGTTAGGGATACTATTTGGGAGCTTGTTCTTTACAAAAGCTCTGATGTGTCCTTTCAGTACAGTATTCAGATTAGATACCATGGAGATAAAGGTACCATGAAGAAAGGATCTAAAGGCAGTTGATACAGAGCCTGAGGAGAAAGAATTGGGATTTGAAGCTGGTTGACCCTTAAGTAATATAACAGCTTTTAAAGTTGACTTATGACATGATGGGGAAATGTCTTCCATTATATGGTAATTCCCCAGTGGGATCTACAATGCTAGAAATAATTTATGGATCACCTGGAGAACATTATGTTACGTGAAATAAGCCAGGCACAGAAAGACCAAGTCTGTGTTTCTTCTACTTGGAACCGAAAACAATCAAACTTATAGAAGCGGAGACAGAATGGTAGTCACTGGAGGCTAGAAGTCGGAGGAAATAGGGAGATATTGGGCAAAGGGTACAATGTTTAAGTTAGACAGAAGGAATAAATGATAAATACTTGAAGTATAAAATAATAATGGATCAGTTAAATTCAGCAGACATTTATTGAACACTGGCAATAGCCAAAGTACTTTGTTGGTTAAAATAAAAGAATCAGGCAAAGAAAGGTAACTAGTAACTAGAGGTCCACTTATGGTTTCACGGGTTTGCAGACTCCCTGAAATTAAGTGCAAGACTCTGTGTACTTGTCTGTGTGCACTTTTTCTTGGTCTTTAGTTTGCATCAGATGCCCAAAGTTTGTACCTGACCCAGAAAAGATTACAGACTAACGATCTAGTTGCTCCTAGAATTGGTATGCCATGGATAATTGATATGCCATGGCCGGTGACTATGTGTAAGGATGCAAAGGGCAGCTTCCAATACTGTGTGCTAGTCATTCTATCCTCTGTAGGTCAGCTGCTGGCATTGGTGGTTTGGGTGTACATTTCTATATTTTCTAAATGTGGAAAAGTCAGGAAAATAGAGAACTGCCTTTGGAACAGGCTGTGCTTTGACTCTACTGACTTGGAGATAACCCTGGAAAGAAAAAAGCAACTATTGTGACTATTAGCATGTGTAGGTACTCAGCACATATTTGCTAATGAGAGAAAAGAAGGCAGGAAGACAAGAGAAAGGAAGAGAGGGGCCTATGATGTGCTCCCAGCCTGGGCAAAATGTACGTAAGAACTGGAGAGCTTTGTCCTGTGTCCTCCAGGAACTTGGAGGGGTTTGATAAGCATTATAATAAAATATGCTAATATAAACTATATTAATTGTTTATGACTTGACTTGGACAAATGTCCAAAACTGGTCAGTACAACAGCTTAAGTTGAAAAAAGTGAAGATGAATCACTTCACGCTGTTTTTTCCTTAAACATTTGTGTAAACTATAACTGCCTTGAAGAAAATGAAAGAAAAAAAGCCACAGAATATTCTCCTTGTACCAGCTGGGGGCAATCCAGTACTACAAATGTGAGAGTGGAGGAAAAAGTGCACCAAAAGATAATTTCTAATGTTGCTGTTACTGTGTGAACTGGTCTTTTTTTCCGAGGTTAATAGATCTCAGCCCTCTGAAAGCGATAGCAACAGAGGCATGCTGAGGTAGCCAATGGAAAATGACATCTTTCCTTTGTTTTTAGTTTTGTTTTTTATTGTTGTTGTTGTTTTGTTTTGTTTTGGTGTGGTTTGGTTTTGTATTAGAGATGGAGTCTCGCTCTGTCACCCAAGCTGGAGTGCAGTGATGTGATCTCGGCTCACTGCAACCTCCGCCTCCTGGGTTCAAGTGATTCTCCTGCCTCAGCCTCCTGAGTAGCTGGGACTATAGGTGCCTGCCACCATGCCTGGCTAATTTTTGTAGTTTTAGTAGAGACAGTGTTTCACCATGTTGGCCAGGTTGGTCTTCAACTCCTGACCTCAAGTGATCCACCCACCTCTGCCTCCTGAAGTGCTGGAATTACAGGCCTGAGCCACCATGCATGGCCTGACATTTTCCTTTGTAATGGCAACTGCCCCTTACCAAATAATCCTTAGGTCAGGTGGAAAATAGCTTTCAAAATCTTCCAGCCGTGGCAAGCAACTGGCTTAAGATTGCAAGTTGGGTGCCCTCCTGGCTAGGAGAGCCAGGTGCACCTGTTGCAAAAAGTCCTTGGTGATGCAGAATGTCCTCTGTTAAGCTCATATGTCTAGGGATAATCCCCAAGCAGTAGTCTGCTTCTTGGAATGCCATACAGATGCTCACAACATTATTCAGATTATGTGGTTTATAGTCCTGCCCACATACTTCTGGCATTGCTCTGAGTAAAATAGTGAAGTGATATCTTTCATGTCCTAACAAAAAAGCATTACTTGATATTGCAAGCTTCTATTTATTATCTTGTTTAGATTCTGTGCTAGGTTTCACAAAAGATGCCAAGCACTACTTAATGAGTTATCTTTATTTATAGAGTATATTCTTAGAGGGATATAATTGTATATACCTGAAATAGATAATACAAGATTGTGCATAGTGAAATAAATTGTTGTACATTAGAGGAGGGGAGACCCTGATAGGCTGCAGTTATCAGGAAGACTTCCATGGAAAACTGGTTTTGCACTCCTGGTTTATCCTGTTTTACATCATCTGAGTGTTGTACTATGCTGTTCTGGAACATCCACCGCATTTAATTATATCTGTTCTAGTCTTCCTCATGAACAGATAAAAGCCAAGTGTCTAAGCCTAATATTTCTTCTAATAGAGGCTGTCTATTTTTACTCTTGTAGAAGATTATAAAATGAAAACTCCTTTTTTTGAAAGATTTACATGAAATTTTTTATGCAAAACCAATCATTTCTTACTATTGTACCTTGAGAGTTTTACTTTGTTGGCAGTAAAGAAAATTGTGATCTGCTATTTTATTTCACCAGCGTTCTGGCTGCTTTTATTCCTGAGTTTCATTTTCACTTTGTCATTTACTCCATCCTACATAAATTTAATCATTGCATCTGTAGGTGTCTGAATGTCTGCTGGCTGAAACTTACAGAGCAGAATAAAAGTAATAACAGAGATGAGATACATTGGTGATTCCAAAAACTCCAGTTGATAAGATTAGAAAGTAATCTTCCTGAGAGATGAAAAGAAATGTGGGTTCAAACACAAACTTATATTTTTTGACAACTCAGTACAAGAACTATTTTAAACAAAATTCATATAAGATTTATTATCCATTTTTTCTTGAAAACTATTGATAATCAGATAATTTGACTGAGGTTTCTGCACAGATAAACAAGTCCCTTACATTTTCATTTAGATTTTTACTACTAGTGCATTTTGTTTACGAGTATGACTTTTATATTGAATAATTCTGATTCTGATAATATCCTGGTAGAGATGCTGGGTCAGTTGTCTGGCAGGTGTTTGGATAGTTTCATATACTTTTCCTATACAACTGAGACCAAGGTCTCAAATGGAGGATGACTAAGAGTTGCCAACCTACTTTTTCAAAATCCTTCCACCTGACTTGACCTTCTCTCCTGGCTTCGTATCCCATTTCTCCTCTTCAGTCTTTCCTGATGACATACTGTGCTACTCAGCTTTTCTGCTGCTTTTTCTTTGTTGTTGCTATTACTCAAGCCTGAAATATTCTTTAACCTCTTGAACATCTACCTACTGTTCATAACCTATCCATCTTTGCTTCAGGCACCGTTTTCTTTTTGGAGTCATACATGATTCAAACTTCAGCATAGTATCTCCACCTTCTACAATCTCATACTATTTTGTCTCTACATTTTTTATGGCTGTTAAAATATTGTCTTTTATGGTAATTAATAGAAGGCTCTCATGCCCTCTATATAAACTGTAAGCTCTGTAATGACAAAGACCAAATTAGATTATACCTAAAAAGAAGGTGGTCTTTCCTTTACTAACTTGAAGGCTGTTTTACACTTAGTGGACACTAGATATTTGTGGAGTGAACGATGATGGGTAGGTATAGGTACAGTGGGTGGTTGGAGTGGTGCATGGATGTATGGTAAATGGGATGGTTGGTTAGATGGATGGATGGATGGATGGATGGATGATCTAATTCTGAGCTTCAAATGACCATTTTGATTATGCGATTTTGTGGCACTTATTATTTCTCTTTTCAGCCCTATTGCTCACTACACCTTCACCTGAAGGTCTCTGAGAATCCCTACACATCAGGGATCATTGCCAGCAAAGACACAGCTCCAAGCATCATAGTGGCATCAGGTAAGAAGCTTGCCTGGTTTGCTGGCTGTGGTAAATAGTGTTTATTTTAAGAAGCTAGATATCTGTACTTGGAACTTAATGAGCAAGCTGAAAATATTTTTGAAAGGCACCTAAGCCATTGGCCCTGAAGCAAGTCTGCAGAAAACTCCTGCACAGACAGAATGCTTGCAGTCAAAATCTTTCTCAGGCAATGCACCTGCCAATATAGTCCATTGTTGCTTTTGCAGAAAGTTCTTTTCACTAATGTCATCATTCTCTTTCTAGGTAATATAGGTTCTGAATTGTCAGACACTGACATCAGCATGTTTGTCTCTTCAGATGCAGGAAACACCTGGAGACAGGTAAGAAAATACCCTGGGTCAAATCACCAAAGTTTAAGTAACATAAAAATTGCCCAGCTTGGTTCAAATCTGGGAACTTTTTCAGCAGTGCTACACATAAATCCTAACGACTGTGAATATGTTTGTTTTTCCTTTTTTAATAAAAGTCTTAAATCTTGGAATTTAGCAAATATTTATAGAATTAGATTTTTTATCATTTAATAAAGATGTTCCTTATTCAGAGCTTGTATGTAAGGACATTTATAAGTCTCAACGAAACCAAATTAAGTCTGACTAAATTTTTTCCTGTAGATGATAACCAGAATACCTAAGGGTTTATCATATAGGGAATATGCAGCCTTAAGGGTAGATTACATATCTAATGCTGAGTTGGCTCCATAAATTCCCCTTGCCTTGAAGTCAGAATAGGAAGAAATGCAGATATAGAAATGGCCATTACCCAGGTGGTGTTCTGAGATGTTTAAATCTCATGTGCAAAAGACAGAGTAATAACCATCAGGATGCATATGTTAGAGAAAGTAGAAATGGAATACTTTAAACCAGTGTGTTTAGCTTAAGTGCTTCATGCCTTTCTTCTGAATGAAAATTAGGTACCCATAGCTTATAAAACAGGCATTTAATGAGGTTTAGCAATCTTAACAAGATATGCACCTAATGCGTGGTTGTTATACCTCAATAAATATGTTTTAATAACCTACCGATGTTTAATTATCATACAATAACTAGCACTGTAAATTGAAATCTAATGCATAGGTAATCACACTTAGCAATGAGAGCACTCTGCTTTACATTTTAGATAGAGGTGTCCACATTATGTTCCAATTTTCATTTCTTAGCTTCAGACTCTTTATAGATCCTCAGTGGGATTCTGATATTTTGAGCGGAGGAGGAAGGGAAGAAATTTGCATAAGAAACCCCATAGCAATTGATCTTGGAGGTATGTAGAAACTTGGACTATCCTAAGTAAACTTCCTTTGGAGAACAGAGAGCTAGGATCCCATTTTCTTCTTTCCAACACCCCAAACAAGGCAAAGAAGTTTTTACTTCTGTAGTCTTGGGGTGCATCTTGGGTATAAGAAATAAACAAATTGGAAGGAGAGTGTCTGTAATGGAACTCCAGGCAAGCCTATACTAATAATCTGAGAGAACAGTATGCATCTTATACAGAAAGGATCTAGAGATTGTTTCCATTGTGTCTCCATTTGACTTCAAATTTGTTTCTCTACATTTGGAGAAAGACCCAATGACACATGTACCCAAAGATGACAACAGAACTCACCATGATTTTGGTGGAACATCTATTAATTAAACAAGAACAGTTTTTGATAACAGTCGGAAACTTCAGAGTAATAAGATCTGGAAAGGGCACTGTAATGCAGCAAGTCCAAGTTCCGTCCATTACTGTATGCATGATCTCAGGCAAGTTACCACATCTCTCTAAACCTTAGATTCCTTATTTATGAACATGAGACTGTTGGAGTAAATGATTTCTAAGGTTCCCTCTGTCTAGAGATGTATAATATATGACAGTTAACCAATATTCTGACATCATCATAACTGGGAATCAATAGAAATTATCATGAAAATGAAGGAATCTAAGCATGAACCCATAAATATTCATTGTTCAAATTTATTTTATACACACCTAAAATTATTTTGTGTAACACAAATGGTACAGTAGCCTATGTTGGGGAGAATTTTTCTATAACTTTATTTTCCCAAAGATTTAGGGAAACCTATTTATATCATGGGAAGGATTTTTGTTCTCATATGAAGACTTATTCTTTGAAGCCTGGGTATGTGTGGATGTGGATGTGTGTCCATGTATGTGTTTTCCTCATCCAGATCTTTGAAGAAGAGCACAGCGTTTTGTACCTGGATCAAGGTGGAGTCCTGGTTGCTATGAAACACACATCTCTCCCAATTCGACATCTTTGGTAAGGGCACCTGCTGCCTGTGTGATCTGCACCTGATGGTTCTGCACTGCTAAGATCAGTCTAGGAGTCAGGCTATCGAACTGTGTCTGTTTTTTGCAGTAAATCTGTTACCAAAATGCCGAGGTTTGGTTCAGGTCCTCTTACTCTCCACACAAAAGGCCCATCCACTGAGACAACAATGTTGCCAGGAAAGGAAGCTTTAATTGGGTGCTGCAGCCAAGGATATGGGCAATCAGTCCCAAGTCCATCTGTCTGATGACTAAAATTAGGGGTTTATATAGAGGGAAGAAACGTAACCAGGTGTGGGAAAACAGGAATTAGGGAGGGATAAAGAAGAGGAGGTGAGGAAGAGGAAGTGGTCCACAGGAAGCAAGTTGGCAATTAGACAGTCATGATGGGTAAGTTGTCTGGCTTCTCATTGTCAGATGCCTTTGTCTGGTAAGTTTCAGCTCCTTGATACTACCTGGGAGGCCTGATGGTTGGTTTCCTGAGAAAAGAACTCAGATAAGACAAATGTAACTTTCTCAAGTTTTAAGACAGGGAGGATCAATTTCTATGTTTATTCAAAGAAACCATAAACATCGGTTCTATAGGACAGTTGGGCCAGTTTCAGAATGTCAAGGTCTACTAGAGCAGTGGTGGTAGGAAAGAGAAAGAGACACAGATGGGGGGCGGGGGTGGGGGGTGGTGGGGGCGGGGAGAGAGAGAGAGAGAGAGAGTGTGTGTGTGAGTGTTTTACTCCCTGAGAGAGAAATTGCATTATACTTTGCAAATGTTATGATACTTTCACCCTCACTCCCTCACCAGTATATTGTTCTCTCAACAAGATTACAGGTAGAACAATGTTCACGATCAGGTATAGTCTCTGAATAGCTTGACTTCTTGCAGTCACCTTTCCCAAATAACATCTCCTGGAGTTTAATATCCATATCTATTTTTGCATTCCACACAGAGATGATCAACTCATCACAGTTCTGCTCCAGTCTCATTTCTCCTGATCTTGCTTTCTTGTTTTTCTTTTTTGAGGTGATATTCCACAATTCTGCCTGTGTATGTCCCACAGATGGATGTATAAGGACTAACTTCCAGAGGAGTTATCGATAGGCTCTTTCATCCGTGTTTTTGAAAGTGGTTCTCTCCATATATGAGTTTGTCCAAAATCAAAAGCCCAGTTTTCCTTCTACTGTTAGTTATTTTGATGACAGAAGGGAAAGCTGCAAAAGAGAAAAGAAAAACAGGCTAAGCTTGAGCAAGGGCATTCATAAAGAAACGCAGAGCAAAAGAAAGGGTCCTGGGTGACCATCATAGTTCATTTGGGCTGCTATAACAAAATACCGTCAACTGGGTGGCTTATAAACAACAGAAACTAATTTCTCGTAGTTCTGGAGGTTGAGATGTCCAGGATCAAAGTGCTGGCAGATTCAGTGTCTGATGAAGGCTCCACTTTTGGGTTTATAGATGGCACCATTTTGCTGTGTCCTCACATAGTGGAAAGGCAAGGCAGTTCTCTGAGGCCTCTTTTATAAGATGACTAATTCCTTTCATGGGTGGTCCGCCCTTATGATTTAATCACCTCCTAAGGTTTCCACCTTCTAATATCGTCACATTGGTGATTAGATGTTCAATATTTGAATTTTAGAGAGGACACAAGCATTTAGACCATTCCAGTGACCATCAGGACTGAAGAATTATCTTCTCTTGCTTTCAAGAGCCTATCCTGTACTCATTCATTCAGTGAGGTCAACCAGGATTTATAGTTGTAAGAAGGACACACTGAGGACTTGGTCACTTAGAGATGAGTTGAGTGAAATCTAAGTAAGTCTCACAAGGTCATCACTCTTCAGTATCACCTGTGAGACTTGTTAGACAGTAGAGAGGTTTTGGACAGGGTCAAGAGCTTGAGGTCTAAGAAATAAAAAAATATCCAAACTTTCAAAAATTTTGTAAAAGACTTATAGTTAGTTCCCATTTAATGTAGCTGTTCCTTTATTGATGTTTCAATACATCTGTGTCCCCATGGCTTGGCTAACTGTATTTCTATTTTCCGATATAATTAAGAATACTTATTTATATGAAAGGCCCATTTTGACAATGTCTCAGCTACTTTTAAAATGTATTATCTCTGGGTTGAGAGTGTCTTCCCTTTGAAATGACTTTTTTTTTTTTCCTCCGGAGATCTGATGACTGATATTTTTTACATCATTAGGTTGAGTTTTGATGAAGGGAGATCTTGGAGCAAATACAGTTTCACATCTATTCCACTTTTTGTGGATGGGGTTCTGGGTGAACCTGGAGAAGAGACTCTCATCATGACGTAAGTTGAAACTATGATGTGGTCCAGCCTTCATAGAAAAGAGTAATCTACAAACATGTTTTATAGCTAAGCCTGTTTGATTTGCAACTGTTAGGTTAAGGTTGTTGCATCTTACTGCAAGAGCGTACAGAAAATAGGGAAGAAAAATGTGGGCAGCTATTTTCTTGGTTCCTTGATAGTTTTTAGGAGACCCAGACTGAGGCGCTTAGAGAAATTAGAAGTGACAATTTCAATACATTTAAAACTTTAATAATAACCTGCATATGTAGAAAATCTCAGGCATATAGGAATGATTTCGCTTTAAGTCAGAACATAGAGTTTCAGCAAAATCCCACAAAGCATTGTATTTTTCCCTGGCTCTTTACCTAACCCAATTGTGAGGCATATGAGGAAAACCGTGAGAACAGTCTGTTCTTGTGAAATTGCATTTATACTCATTTTTGTCTGGAATGTGATGATCATTAATTTGTGAAAGATTAATGACCCTGCCTATGAACTTCAATACATGGACTTTGAATTTCAAGTATGAAACTGTAATAATTCATTCCTTTGGAAAATTGGACATGGAAAATAGGGATGGTTGTAAAGTAGTTGATCTGTCATCAATGAAAACTTTCAAGCCAAAGTCAATACTCAGTAAACTTTCCGATTCTCTCCCCTACCACTACTCCTTTTTTTTTTTTTGAGACAGAGTCGCACTGTGTTGCCCAGGCTGGAGTGCAGTGTCATGATCTCAGCTCACTATAAGCTCCGCCTCCTGGGTTCACACCATTCTTCTGCCTCAGTCTTCCGAGTAGCTAGGACTACAGGCACCCACCACCATGCCCAGCTAATTTTTTTTAATTTTTTTTTTTAGAAGAGACAGGGTTTCACCATGTTAGCCAGGATGATCTCGATCTCCTGACCTCATGATCCACCCGCCTTGGCCTCCCAAAGTTCTGGGATTATAGGCATGAGCCACCGCGCCTGGCCTACCACTACTACTTTTTAATGGCGGAAAACAGCAATAAAAATCTAATATGACTAATAGCTACACTTTTCTCAATGAGAAACATATCTAAATTAGCAATGCATTCCATAATTTGTCTTTCTTCAATTTTTATATTTTCAAAACAGAGATTTTTAAAAACTGACCCAACAGGCCACCTCATGGCTTTTCTTCAAACCTATGATTGGTAATTCAAACATCTCAGTAAAAACTTAAGTCTCTCTGAGGAAAGAGAATAGAATGTGCAATGTAGGAAACCATTATTAGTACTTGGCTCTGCTGATCACTTTCGCTAGGGGCTGGTGGGAAGGTAAAATAGCATGGAAACCATGGGAACTATGTACATGAGCAAGATGACCTAGAAGTCTAATCTCGGACCACATAGAATACAGCATTTATGATTGTTTTTCTCAACCAGATTTTCCCAACCAATCTTGTGGCACAATATGTACAAGTGGGCTCTTGAATTAAACACTCTGGGTCTGGTTCCACCTGTTATTATGACTTGATTTTGTTTTTTGCAATGTTAACAAAACTCATTGAACCTCATGTTATCTATCTGTGAAGTGGATCCAGTAATAGTACCCTCTTCGGCCAGGTGCAGTAGCTCACACCTGTAATCCCAGCACTTTGGGAGACCAAGGCGGGCGGATCACAAGGTCAGGAGATCGAGACCATCCTGGCCAACATGGTGGAACCCCATCTCTACTAAAAATTAAAAAAAAATAGCTGAGCATGGTGGTGCATGCCTCTAATCCCAGCTACTCAGGAGGCTGAGGCAGGAGAATCGCTTGAACCAGGGAGTCGGAGGTTGTAGTGAGCCGAGATTGCACCACTGCCCTGCAGCATGGTGACAGAGCAAGACGCTGTCAAAAAAAAAAGGACCCTCTTCATGAATGTGTTTTGAGGATTAAATGATGTGATTCATGTAATGTCCTTAGCTCAGGGTGAACACTCCACAAATGCTCTCTGTGGTTATTACTCATGGCATTATTATCATTGTGATTATTTTTATCACCATGAACTCTGTAGAGTGTTTGGACACTTCAGCCACCGCTCTGAATGGCAGCTGGTCAAAGTAGACTACAAGTCCATTTTTGATAGACGGTGTGCCGAAGAGGACTACAGACCTTGGCAGCTGCACAGCCAGGTAGGAGGAAAAGAACTGAGACTAAGGCCTGGGCAGGAAGCATGAGTGGTGTTGGGGGAAAGCTGGTTGCTAAGGTATAAGAACTAGGATGATCTAGGCCAAAATGTCCATCTACTGTTTACTTACACATTTTGTGTTCCACAGCAGTGAACAAGCTCACCATTTATAGCTTGTTGTGAAGTCATTTCTGTTTTTATTGTGCTAGAATATAATGAGATAAAATTCAAATGTGCTTGGCTTAGACTTACAACTCAAAATGAAATACCAATTCAGCACTGAGATCCAAACATAATTCATCTAAGAATGTCATATGGTTGCATGGTGGGGGAGGGGATGAGGAAGAGATCTTCAGTTTTATCTAGCAGTGCAAACAGAGACATAAAATAACAAAATTATGCTGGGTGAGTGTTGCCAGAGAAATCCTTCTTCCCATTTGCCTTGATTCCTTGGAACTATATAGTACCTTTTGCCTCCTTGCCAGGTACTCCTGGTATGAGAATGCAGAATTATTAATAGGCAGCTTTCATTTGTCCTGGCCTCTCACCTATTCAGCTTATATCAAAATGCTTGGATGTCAGTGTCTCTCCCTTGATTTCCCAAGGTACAAGTCATTCCGCAGATCTCTCAAAGGATATGGTAGAAGTACCTGCTGCAAAGCCATCACCATATTCAGGCAGAAAAACGTCATATACCTCAAACCTAGACTAAGTAATATATTTAAATGTAGATGTGTAATGAAGCCAGTTAAAGTGAGTTTGCTCAAGAAAGACGGTGTTCAGTAGATTAAGCAAAATTCTACTCTGATTTTTCAGAAACACAAAAGGAGGAGTGTGTCTGATAGTGGACCCTGCGTTATCTGGAAACACCCACCCTATTCAGAGGCTAAACAATAAAATTGCTCATTTACATTGCTGATATTTTCTCCTTTGGGATGCACAATCATTGTGATATTCAAAGCTTTTATTTATTTTGTGGGAAAACACTGAATTTAGCTCTCTCGCTTGTCTGGTAGAGGAGCATTAAAATCTGTGCTATAAAGTTGTGTGGGCAGAGGCATAATAAATCGAGGCAAAATGGATCTTTATATTTCTTAGCAATGCTCCTCTTTCATGCTCTCATAAATGACCAACTGTGTAAATCTTTTATTATAGGGGAATTGAACTTAATTACTACAGATTTGTTGGCAATGCACTAGGTACAGACTGAGTCTTACTTAACTGTGTGTCCTTCATAGCACTGCACCCAACACTTTGCCAAATAAAGGTTTGATAAGTGCACACAAAATTAAGGATGTTATTTAATAATCCTCAGCGATTGTTAGGATTGCCTTTATAGTCAGGTTGTATAAGAGGGCTTTGGACCGCAAAAGGAAAATGTTGTTAGCACAAAGAGGGCTACCAAAGTTCACATTACACTAAGATGTGCAAATGTCTCCCTAAACGTCACTCATTTGGAGCAGGGAAAGTCCAAACTATGTGCCCAAGTATCTGTGATCCTCCTCTGCTTACAGGGGGAAGCATGTATCATGGGAGCAAAAAGGATATATAAGAAGCGAAAATCAGAGCGGAAGTGTATGCAAGGAAAATATGCAGGAGCTATGGAATCTGAACCCTGTGTCTGCACTGAGGCTGATTTTGATTGGTGAGCTTGTGCAATTATCTCCTGGAGCCATTCGGTGTATCAAATCCACATGGGCCTGAATGAAACCTTAGAACTGAAATAATAGTAACATACATAGGGCTAAGTGGCAAGCTTCATATTCTTATAAAATTACCTCATAGTTTACTAGCTATGTACATGTGTATGTGGGATAATCAAGAGTTTCTTTAGACTGAAAGAGGACTCAGAAGATGGCTGGTAATTATCTTCATGTAATTGCTAGATTCCTAGGACCAAAGGAGAGCAGATTTGGCCGGGCGTGATGGCTCATGTCTGTAATCCCAGCACTTCGGGAGGCTGAAGGGGGTGGATCACTTAAGGTCAGGAGTTGGAGACCAGCCTGGGTAAAACCCCATCCCTACTAAAAATACAAAAATTAGCTGGGCATGGTGGCAGGCACCTGTAATCCCAACTACTCGGGAGGCTAAGGCAAGAGAATCGCTTGAACCCGGGAGGTAGAGGTTGTAGTGAGCCAAGATTGCGCCACTGCACTCCAACATGGGTGTCAGAGGGAGACTATCTCTTTAAAAAAAAAAAAAAGGCAGATTCTTTCTGTGCTGCTTCAAACAGCAACACTGGAAACAGTAAGTGTATTTTTTAGGGAGCAAACAAAACAAACATATTTGTGTTCTAGATGAAAGCTTTCTAGAATCTAGGATTGCCTGTAGTGGAATAATAGCCTTTTAGGGCAGTAAATTTTCTGTTCCTGCAAGTTTTCAAGTCGTAGTTAGCTGACCACAGCTTATGAGATTCATGGAAGACATTCCCGAACTCAGAGCAAGGATGGATTCAATGGCATTGCAAATCTGTAACTCAGTGAACCTAGCGATAAAGGAGACTTCTTGCTTTACCCTGATTAAGCTAATTTAAACTGGAGAAGTACTGAGACATTTAGAGGTTAAACTCTAAATGTGCCATAGAGTGCCATAGAGTCCTTCTTGAGACATTTACTCAGCAGAAAACTAGCTTGTGGGCACAGTGAAGCCTTTGGCTTGTTGTCAGTGTTAATTGTTCAGGTAAGGCTTACACATTATTGAGGACAAGTAGGTGGTAACTCCCTTGGTATTTTCCATCTCATTTTCCATTGTTTTCTTCCCTCTTCTTTTTGCTTTTCCTTTATTTGTTTGTTTTTAATTTAGAGAACGCAATCACTAAATGTATACATATGTGTTACCTAACTTGACCGACATAAGAACTAAAGTCATTTTTTAACAATTTATTTCTAGCTGTATTGCAATCTCAGGTTACATACTGAATCATTAAAATATCAGTGATTGGACTGAGATACTGTGTACATATGCATCACATATCTTAGAAAAATTAAACCTTCACTTGTGATGGACATCTGGAGATATTCTAGCACTGAGAAGGTCTGACAAGACTGGCAGCCAGCAGTCAGACCAGTAACCCACAGCTGTACCCCTTGTTGGTGAGGACGCCAAGCCAAGAGCCAATGAAATATCTCTTTGGGCTCAGCCAGAGGGCAACAGAGTTTCAGTTACATTGAAGCTCAAAATGAAATCTTCAGGGGCCTCCCCAGTTGTGACTTCTGTTTTAGTTAGTGCAATATTATTACAATGACAAAAATATTTTATCTTTGTACTACCCTTCAGGACTCACACCCTGAAATGTATTTACAGGGAAAACTACCATGAGATTTTAAGTCATTTCTCGCATCCCTCTTTCTGAAGCAACTGCTTCTTCTTCTTCTATCCTGTTCAAGGAAGATTTGCAAAGGAAGTTAGCGTCTTACCTTAGTGGTTTAGCTTTTGCCTTAAGAAACAGCCATTCTTTAGCAGGAGGCAAATTTATTCTCTGATAGAAAACCAAAGAGAAAAAAAAAATGAGATGAGATGTCCCAATGTCCTGATTTCTCCTCAAAACATTTGCTTCTCTGGGAATCTTTTCTACAGGCTTCAAAGGAAGCCAATCTTTTGTTGTTGTTGTTGTTGTTGTTTTTCTTTTTCAATTGTAAGCTAGTCCAGACTGAAAGGAATACCAGATAAGGAAAGCAATTAGATTTTTCCTCTCCCACATCCCTTGTGCCCCTCAGTCTTGGCCCAATCCCTGCATTCGTTTGTGATTGGATCTGCTACTCATCCCACCAGCTGAAATGCATTCTGAGAAGTGGGAAATAAATCACAAAGGAGGCCATTGTAAGGTTTTCTGATCCAATGGGATTTCTGTAACTGCATGATTTCTGAAAATATTTGGGAAGGCTCATCATGACCTTGTTGGGTTTCTACCAGCAGCTGGAGTTTCAGTGATTACACCTGGCTGTAGTGTAATGAAAGGTGATTGTCCCTGAGTGTTTCTCTTTGGTTTGGCTTTCTCCTGGACAGTTCCCCAAATGACCTTGCCTATCCCTCTCCAGCATTTGTAAAGTAACTCCCCAAAGTGAACACTGGTTGTCCTATAGGCAGCAATTCTGAAGTCTTCCTACTCATGCTGCGTTGAACCAGCACCAAATCCTGCTGGTGTGTGCAAAATTCTAAGTACCAGCTGCCTGGTGACAGGCCTCTGAGCTGAGCCTATTTCTCCCTTCCTGACCCTTGTGTGCCAGCATCTCACCTCCATTACACAGATGGGCCAGTTCATACTAATGCTTGCCGATTGCTGCCTGCGATTTGTCTGTGCATGTGGAGGTGCAATTTGTTGTCATTCTCTGTGCCCAGGCTCATCTGCCAGAAGCCAAGAATATCAGGCAACTCAGAGGCCCCTGGAAGCATCAATGAGAGGAGGCTGAGAGGGAAGTCTTTGACTATTTCCAAAGTAGAGAGAGGATTTAAAGTAGTTAGTCCCAACTGGCAGCACTAACTGCCTAGTATGAAACATTTCCTTAGGGGAAATGCTCAAGACACTCCTGAAGGACATTTGCTTTTTGGCTGTAACTTTGAAGCATATGGAGTGTACACAGAGAGACCTGGCTCAGCTCTACTTGTTAGATCCAGATGTCTTGGAAGAGCATCCCAAAGACATCACCAGTAATGAGGACTGTGCCACATGTGACCGTGTTAAACTCTGCGATGAATTTCTCACCAAGGGTTGAGTCCCACCACTGCCTGTTTTCTCATTACAGCTTTCTCTGGGCCCAGCCATCTATATTGTGTATCCTTCTAATGAGAACACAATCTACTCGCTCAGCTTAAGAGTGTTTAAATGGAATGACCAGCTATGTAGGATATTTTCCTGAATAATTGATAGATATTCTATGAAAAAAGTTCTATTTTTGAGAAGTCATTGATTCAGGGAATGCTTGTGTGTGTGTGCGTGTGTGTGTGTGTGTGTGTGTGTTTTGTCTTGTTTTTGTTTTTTTTTTTTGACTAATTGATTAGTGTAAAACTTGGCTGTGGACTGACATGGAATTGTTTTCAGTAATTTTGCCACCTACTGAAAGGTTTTTCTCGGCTCTTTCCTAACAGCGACTATGGTTATGAGCGACACAGCAATGGCCAGTGCCTGCCGGCATTTTGGTTCAATCCATCCTCTTTGTCAAAGGATTGCAGCTTGGGACAGAGTTACCTCAATAGTACTGGGTAAGTGTCTGGAGTAGTGACCTTGAGAGGTTAACCTTTGCTGCGTTTCAGCATGTGTTATATTGACAGAATTACTTCTGATCAAAGACTAAGCATATTTCCTTACAGCACAACGTAATTGCTTTTGTTCATTTTAACAATGAAGCACAACTTTGCACTAATAGTGCAAGTTTCATGTGAGAATAAGATCCCAATTGCAAATTTTAAAAAGAGAAATGTTTATTGGATGAAGATCACGATGATGATATTAAAATAAAAATGTCTTCATTTTCTCAACACTTTGTTTTCAAGTTATTTAATCCTGTGAAGTTACCCTTTACCCTCATTATATCCATGATGAGGAAGGCCAAATAGATATTTCATATTTGCATTTCCTGTTTTATAGATGTGGAACCTGGAATCACAAAAGGAACTCACTGACTTTTCAAAAGTATAGTAGTGTTAATACGAATGTATTTTGCTTTCTCTTTATGTTCAGTCTTGACACATTTAAACATGCATTCTGACCTTTGTAAATCCGGAATCACATTCTAAAATTTGGTGTTTAATATTCTATGTCATGGGGTTTATGCAGTATTATTTAAGAAATACTATAAAAAGGAAAAAAAAATTCATAAATTTGTCTCAAATGTAGTTGGTATCTATAAACTTTAAAATAGTGTGTGGAACCTGTTTAAATTCTGATTCAAATAAATGATCTGTAAAAAGACACATTTGAGTCATCGAGGAAAACTGAACATACACTAATGCGGGTAATGTATTAGTTAGGGCTTTCCAGAGAAACAAAACCAGTAGGATGTATATTTATTTAGAAAGATATTTATTTTCCAGGCATGGTGGCTCATGCCTGTAGTCCCAGCACTGCACTTTGGGAGGCTGAGGCAGGCAGATCACTTGAGGTCAGGAGTTTGAGACCAGCCTGGCCAAGATGGTGAAACCCCATCTCTACTAAAAATACAAAAAAAAAAAAAAAAATTAGCCACACATGGTGGTGTGCGCCTCTAGTCCCAGACACTCAGGAGGCTGAGGCAGGAGAATCACTTGCACCCAGGAGGTGGAGGTTGCAGTGAGCCGGGATTGCACCACTGCACTCCAGCCTGGGCGACCGAGTAAGACTCCGTTTCAAAAAAAAAAGAGAGAGATTTATTGTAAGGAATTGGCTCATTCGATTATGGAGGTAAGTGGGTCCCAAGATCTGCAGGGTAAGTCAGCAAACTGGAGACCCAGGAGAGCTGACAGTGTAGTTCTAGTTCAAGTCTGAAGGCCTGAAATCAAAGAGCCAATGTTGTAGTTCTAGTCTAAAGGCCAGCAGACCGAGACCCAGAAGAGCCTGTCTTTCAGTTCAAGACCGAAGGCAGGAAAAGAAGCCAGTGTTCCAATTTGAATGCCATCAGGCAGAAGGAATTCTCTCTTACTTTGGGAACTCTCAGCCGGTTGAATTTAAGCCTTCAGTTGATTGGATGAGGTCTACCCTCACTAGAGAAGTCAATCTGCTTTACTCAGTCTACTGACTTAAATGTTAATCTCATTTAAAAACACACAGAAGTGTAACATTTGACCAAATATCTGGGCATACTATGGCCTAGTCAAGTTGACATATTAAGTTAACCATCATAAGTGATATTAAAGAATTATATATTTAGGCATGATAAAGGCATTTTGGCTAGACTAAGAAAAAAGCCTTGGTTTTAGAGATACATATTTGTGTGAGTTTTGTTTTAAAGTGTTAAAAAACAGGTAAGCATTGATAATTTTTTGGAGATGGGTAATGAGCATATGGGAATTGATTACATTACTTTTCTTCATACATATTTGAAAATTCTGATAATAAAAAGTTAAAAAAGAAGCTGGTGTGGTAGCACGTGCCTGTAATCCCTGCTACTCAGGAGGCTGAAGTGGAAGGATTGTTTGAGTCCAGGAGTTCAAGAAAACCCTGGATAACATAGGGGAACCCCCATCTCTACAAAAAAAAAAAAAGAAAAAGAAAAAGAAAAAGAGAGGGAGAGAGAGAGAGAGAGAAAGGGAAGGAAGAAAGAGAAAGGAGAAATAAGGAGGTAGGAGCCTTACCAATCCGCCATTTCTACTTGACAAAACCCCCTCTCCTTTCTCAAGCCAGCCACAGTACAGAGAATCCACTTGAGGAGGTGAGACTTCCATTTATGTACTCTGTATTCGAAATGTTAAATATGTTTATTTTTTTTAAGATTATCAAAATGATAGATACTATTCTTTTCAAGGAGGGAAAGGCATAGAAAAGGACTGCAATGATTCCTATTTCTGATGTTAGGGATTCCTAGAACCTTTGAATAAAGGAATAAGCTATGATTTTTTTGAATGGTAACACAACATCCAAGGAAATACAAGTAACATTTTTATAGCAATGGGTCAGTGAGGTCTTAGCATGGTACCATGGGGGAAAAAAATGAAAAGGTTGATAAAATCACTAAACTTAATGGGGAAGGAATGCAAAAGACAGGAGTTTTATTACTTGCAGGTACTAGCATGTTTAGACACTGTAAAGGGCATTGGAAGCCCCTCAAGCTAATTTAAGAATTTTTTTTTTTTTTTTTAATAACCAGCTCAATCAGTCAAGGAAGTTACATTAGTCTGTCTTTGGTATTAATGATAGGAGGCTGAAACACAGAGGGCTCAAATTGTTCCAGATGCTACTCAATCATAGACCAAGGCTGAATGACACCTGTGACCCCTCACTCTTCAGTTCATTGAGAATTTTTTTTTTTTTTTGAGACGGAGTCTCGCTCTGTCGCCCAGGCTGGAGTGCAGTGGCGCCATCTCAGCTCGCTACAACCTCTGCCTCCCGGGTTCACGCCATTCTCCTGCCCCAGCCTCCAGAGTAGTTGGGACTACAGGTGCCCGCCACCATGCCCAGCTAATTTCTTGTATTTTTAGTAGAGACGGGATTTCACCATGTTAGCCAGGATGGTCTGGATCTCCTAACCTCGTGATCCACCCACCTTGGCCTCCCAAAGTGCTGGGATTATAAGCATGAGCCACTGCACCTGGCCCATTGAGATCTTATAAATCCTGACTAACATCAAATAAAACATCAGTGATGATTAAGTAATTTTATATTCAAAAGGAATACCATCTATGCCACATAAAATTAAAATTATAAAGTCAATTAAAATGTGACTTAGCAATAAGCGTCCAGGTGTATAAATGTTGGTCAATGCAGTTGTTATGTTTAGTAGTCACAAAATTACAACTCTACCTTCTAGGACTCCACCTTCGCTCTCAGGGGCTTGTTCATTTCAGTGGGTATTACACGATAGCATCTGACCCCAAATGATTTTTGTTGAGTTGCTACATCCACCAGTTTTGCCTGTTCCATTTAAACATTTTGCAGAAAAGCATCAGCATTGGTGAGCAAGCTGGTTTGTGAAGAGAACATATGATAAATACCAGCCATCAGCGGGTATGGTAAATGTTCTGCTCTCATAAGTAAGATGCTCATAGGTGGAGGAGTGAATATGCAAATAGGGCCTTACACAGGAAAGTCAAGGGAATGGTTGTCAATAATAACCCCACTGATCAGCGTGTTGTCTAAACTACACATTTTGCATTAGGAACACGAAGACCCTTAGCTGGGACAGAGGCCTGAAATCATCTACAAAGAAGGCCTCACACCACTGAATTCCCATTTGCATTGTCTGTAGCCAACTTACGAGTTGGTAAGAGGTAAAATGTCGGTGAACTTGGAAAAAAAACTTTCTGTCTCCCTTAATGTCACTCCAGCCCCTCACCACAGATGTCATTTGGTTATGTGTTGATTCAGTGGTATTTTATAAGCAGATTCAGTATATAATGTTGTAGCCACTAATAATGCTACCACTATACATTTAGATTTTTACTTACAAATATTTAGTCACAAAATAAATGTGTATGTTTTATATGTTTAAAAGCCAATTTACATAATCACCCCAATCCTGGCCCCCTTTCCCCACACAACTGTGATCTGTTTGATATGCATGCTTCTAAAACTTTTCTTTGCATTTGCTAGCAAATACTGGTCCCAGGAGAAAATACACAAATTAATTTGGGAGGTTGTTTTTATATGTGATTTCCTACTAGATACATTGTTCTTCTGTTTTCCTTTTTCATTAAAAATATGACTTAAACATCTTTCTAAGTCAGAATATATAAGGATACTTTCTCATTTATTTAATTCTATGGTATTAAGTATTATTATAGTATTATCAGTCATCCTTCTTCCATGGACATTTGGGTTATTTTGCTTTTTCTGCCACTATAAATAATGCTGCAGTTAATATTCTCATCCTATAATACTTGTTATACAAATAATACAAAGAGAATTAAGTCTCTTTTGGCAATTGGAGGTGTTTCTGTTAGCTCATAATGCAAATTCCACTCAGCCAACTGGTTCTGTCTCAGACCTGAGTATCAGGCATTGCCACGTTTCTCCCTTGTAAGGGTTAAAACACTAGCTTCCTGCTCACGGACTGCCTGTGAGTCCCACATATTAGAGATTAATTTGTATTAAGTGCCATCCTCCTTTAAAATTCAGATGCCAGTGAATTCTGTAAAGGAAAGCTGAGGGGAAGGAGAAGTAGGATTTAGCTAAATTAATAAGGTGAGGAAAGTCATTTCATGCAAAGAGAACAAGAGATGATCCTGGGGAAGGGCCACAGTGGTAGTTTTCTCCAGGACAAGCCCAGATGCCAATGCCTGTGTGCTTAAAGTGTTAAACAGCCACTGAGAACCCTGTGTCCAGTGCCATTTTAAGGCATCCATGGTCACCTCATGCTCAGTCAATGCAGAATCTGTATTAGCCTCGGGGCTGGGATGAAGCACAAAGGAATCCCAAGTGTAGGGTTGGCCAGAGAGTGAGCGCCTTCATAAATGTTGCTCCCTGGGCACCTCACTTGTCTCACCCTTTTCTTACAGCATAGCTCATGGTACAGACATGCAGTGGGAAAGTGAATTGAGTGGGGTGAATGACAAAACCTCCCAGCATCACC